GGGGGGGGGGCATGGATGCATAAGAAAACTTGTCTTTTGCTCGTTAGAGCTCGAGCTCAAGTTGCTTCTGCTACTAATGCTTGTTAGAAATGACTCTTAACAACTCATGTACTTCAGTATCCTGAAATCACTGTTGCTCCTGGTGTTCCTAGCGTCGTCGTCTGTTCTCTGATTCTATCCTCGAGATGCGGGGGCAAGACTGTTTAGCTTCTCTTTCATCAGGTCTCATCGGCTATGAGTGAGGGAGGGGGTGAGGGAGGGAGAGTCGAGATCGAGCTAGAGCTTGTCAGCCTATTGAGGACTAATTTCATCGACATTCCGACGAGGAGATCCAGAATTCGAGTTCTGCCACAGAGGGAGAGAGAGAATGATAATAAATAGTCCGCCTGCTAGCTGCTAGCGAATCTCGACGTTGATACACATACAGCTGCACGACGGAAGAACAAGAACTGGAAGGTGTTGCTGTTGATCACGCTCCAGATGATGTTCCAGTAGCTCCAGCTCTCCTGTTAATCTAGCTCTTCCCTTACTGTCTAGGCTGGCTTTCCCCTCCCTCTGAGGCTAGCTGAGGACGTTAGACTCACATTAAGCCAGTGTTTCGCTCCCTCCATCAATACTCTTTTTAAAGTCGACTCGAGAAGCAGTGAAGACTGTCGGAAAAATTCCCCGACCCAGCAGCTTGCTTGCACCTTAGCTGCCCAGCTGCTTGGGCGCATTTGCTGTCGACCGCCACCCGGCTACCTGCCCGCCTCCTCCTGCTCAAAATTCTCTCCGCGGTGAGCCTCTCAAAAATCCCTCAACCACGCTCGAAGAGCTTTTTTTGCGCCTGTTTGTATTTGTTTGTTTTTGTAAATATGCTAATTTTTCCTGCTGAAACCCTTGTTCGCATCAGAGCCTGGAACTCCAGAACCTGTCGGTATTGCTGCTAAAATCAACATATACTGCTCCTGATTCACTTATTTTTTTCTTTCATCTACAAAATATTTTGCATTTGCTGCTACTGCATTCTACGTGGATTTCCCACATTCTTTGCAGAATCTCGGATAATCTTCAGCAAAAAAAAGAGATTCATCCCAATTTCTGGGAAAAAATCGATTCAAATTGACTTTTTGAAATTGCAAACTTGAATACTGCATTATTACTTAATTTAAAAATCAGAACAGCAGCAGTAGAGCAAAATGGTACTCCTCTGTTTGTACATAATTGAATTAACGGAAGCAGAAGAAGGTGGACTGGAACTGGTGGATCCTTCATGGTGTAAGTTACAATTTCACGCATTTCGCATATTTTTTTTTAAAAATATTGATTTAAAGCAGCGGAACAAGATGCGGAAACCGAAACAACTAGTGAATTTGACGTTGCAATGAGTGATGTACGATCGGAATTCAGCGAATACTCCACACTGTCCAGAAGTCTTTACGGTAAATGATAATAGAAGAAAGTGTGATAAGCTGTATTTTTTTTTCATAAAACAACTAGTGTAGTTGTTTTGATCGGAAATTAGAAAACTGTCCTGGAAGTTTAAGCACAGAAATTTATCACTAATGTTGAGAAAACCACGGCTTTTGAGCAGTCAGTGTGGAAATGCTTGCACTAGCCGTGCACCGGTTGCACCTTTCAATCCTGTACAGCATGGCCGCTTGTTCGGTGTACGTGCGTCATCCTTTTCTGGGTCGCTCGAGTAGTCATTTACTCTTTCACGGGTAGTGCAAAAACTCAGTCAGTGCAAAAACTCAGTAACTGAATCTCAAAATAGCGCAGGTTCCGGCTAAATTTCAATTTTTGTGCCAGTGATAGGCAAAAACTTTTTGCAAATTCCGGATTTGATGAATCCCTGTTGGCCAAATCAGTATATAATTAAATCCAGTGATAGGCAAAAACTTTTTGCAAATTCCGGATTTGATGAATCCCTGTTGGCCGAATCAGCTTATAATTAAATTCAATGTGTTTTTACTCAGAATGAAACTTAAAAATTTTCGTTGCTTTTTGATTTCCACTGGTAGCGCTTCGAGTGCGGAAGAGAAAAAGGAAATTTAAAAAAAAACTTAATATTCTAAAACAGTTTCATATAATTCTTTGAATTCGATTTATTGGATTTTTCTTTAAAAACTGCTTATTTGCAGGTCCCGAAGAAGGACCACCACGGAAGAAAATCAAATCACCTCCTGTCATATCACCGACCGCATCCTCCACCAGTTTGTATAGCGGAGGTAGCAGCTCAATCGACTGGAGTAAGTTTTTGTTGCGTACAGTATTTTTCAGAACTTGCAAAAATTCTCAAAAGATAATGAACCGTCGAGAGACGTGTGGTCGCTCTTGACACGCGTTGTTCTTCGGTCCACTCCTGAGTGCTTCCGCCTCTCGTTCAGGGTGAAAGTAGAAGATTTTATGATTTTAACAAAAAAGGGGCTCAAACTGGATGAGGAGCAATCAAGGCTTGGTAGATCTCAGCTCTTTGCGACACAACAGACCCAGGACCCTCACATTCGTAGTCCAGATAATTCTCATGGACTTTCTGTGGTGTTGCTGGATTAAGCAGTTGCTTTGTTTTAGTACTCAAATTTCAGAGTGACCGAATTCTGACGCATATTTTCAATACATGAGTTAGAACATCAGAATTTACCTCAAAATCAGCTTGAAATTTTTTAAAATTTAAACATCCTCCACTTGCGTCTGTGCTGTTTCCTTTCCCCATCTCCTCATCCATCATCTGTCCAAGTATCACCTGGATTGCCAGGATCACTAGGAAGGTAGGTATGGAAATCCGATGACAGTGGTACCAGCTGAGTACTATCGCACTCCAGCACAGATGCACCAGCCCTTTCGATCCTGAGCTACATACCTCCAGTTCGGGTTCAACAACCATTCGGTAGCGACTACTTATGTTAATTCAGATTCCAAGCATTTGTATCTGAAACATTTGTAAACAATTTGGCATTTTTCACCAAAATTTTCATGACTCTCGGATAGTCGATGCGCGGATATTCTATGCTAGTGCTGTCACTAGGATGCTTACACATGCCGAATGTAATTTTACCAGGCCCTTTAATCCTGAGCTACATACTTTCTGTCCAAAATTCTGATGCAAAATGAGAAATACATCTAAAGTCTCATCATATTTATTTCAGCAACAACAGGAACTACACTTGACATGCAGGGCACACGTGTCACCAGGACACAGTACGGATTCAGAACGCTGCAGGAATCGTCAGCTAAAATGTGCCTTAAAGTTACCGGATATCCATTACCCGAAATCACTTGGTAAGCTCACTTTTTCGATGCAAATGAATTCACAAAGGATTCTTTACGAACATAATCTCAATCTTCGATGTTGCAAGAAATCTTCAAAACAAAATGTTTGCCAATGTTTGCTCGCACTGTTTTGAGAAAATTTTCAAATTTTGTAAAAATTTTTGGGCTATTTGGATGATGTTATCCGTTAGAACTGCTTTTTCTAAAAATTTTTTTAAAAATTACGAAGCACTTTGGTTCTTAGCTTTTTTTAGATTTCGATTTTTTAACTTCTTCAGTTTTTCGATTTTTAACTAAACATTTTTGTTTTTTTGTCTTTTTAAAAATTCCAATTTTCTTAATTAGCGATTTTTAATTTTCCAGTTCTGATATTTCTAACTTTTTTTAAAAATTCAGAGATGCGCTTCTTTTTTCAGGTATAAAGATGAGCAGTTACTGCACGAAGATGAAAGGCATACATTTTATGCGGATGAAGATGGTTTCTTCGCTTTAACAATTGATCCGGTGCAAGTTGAAGATACTGGCCGGTACACTTGCATGGCAACCAATGAATACGGGCAGGCATCCACGTCCGCATTTTTCCGAGTTCTTAAAGGTACAACGTCCATAAGTTTAAAAAAAATCCATAAGAGAAAATTATGGAAGTAGCTTACTTTGGGAATCCTTAGTTTAACTTTCGATGCGTGAACAAAGGTTTTGCTTGTTCCGCAGCTTCTGGGAACAATCGGAATCAACAGTGATTTTAATAAAAACTTTTCCGGAGAATGAGGAAAGGAGTAAAGAGAAAAGTTCAACTTTTGAAGAAAAGTGGGTACATTTGGGTAATCCCCACATAGGACAAAATATTTTTAGCAATTTTTTGTGAATATTTTTAAAAGTTTTTTTTTTAAAGACTCAGAAATGAAAACTAAATTGTTATTGAGATTGCCAGGATTTCCTGGGCATTCAGTGAAAAGGCCAAATATCACAGCAGTGCTAAAATGCACCCTTATGTGAAATACAGCTGTGCTAGGCCCTTCTGCTCAGTGAGCAGTCACTACTGACGTACAAGGGCCATCTCTTCGCAGACTAATAAAATATTCGTATAGGTATTACCTACTGATACTTGATGTCAAATAGCTGCCAGTGTTAAGCGAGATATTAAGGAAAGCCCTATTTTTAAGGAAAAAGTATCATACTCATTGTGGACTCCGGGAGTCTGATATTTTTCAGCAGGGGAAACATCAGTTTTCTGTTATTTCAGTTGAAAAAGAAGCAGCACCACCGGCATTTATCACAACGCTACATGATCAGGAGGTGAAAGAGGGTGAAATTGTATCATTCGAGTGTGAGGTATCCCTTTTGCTTGTCTTTTCTCATGAAAAATTCAATATTTCACTAGTGTTCTTAAATCATAGATTTATACAAAAAAAAAAAAAAAAAAAAACTGAGGAGGGACCGAGAAATAATTTTGCCCTCTCAGTGGCTCCCTCCTTTAAAACGTATGACTGCAATGTTCGAGCAGTTCTGATCCGTTGGCATGTGGGTACCAACTTAGCATCGAAACGAATGAACGAGTCGTAGAGCGAGCGATTGTCCAACTGCTCCGATTCGAATCGAATTTGATCTAAAAATATGCACTTCTTTTTACCACGCCAAGTTTACTGCCAGCTTGCGATGTGGGTTGCCAGATTTTCTCGTATGAAAAGCACAGGCGCATTCAACTCTTTGGGGAAAGAAGGTATCAAAAATCTTAACTTTTTTTCTTAGAATATTTTTTGGTTTTATTAAAAGAATTTTTGTACAGGTAGAGGGATGGCCGGAGCCGGAGCTGGTGTGGCTGGTTGATGATCAACCGCTTCGACCATCACACGATTTCAAATTAGAGTATGATGGGCAGAATGCTAAACTGGAAATTCGAGACGCACAACCGGACGATACGGGGGTTTATACCGTACGGATTAAGAATGATTATGGTTCGGCAGAATCAAATGCAAAATTAACGGTGCAACCAGATCCGGACAAAAATCATGTGGCACCAGAGTTTCAGGTCTGCATTTCAGGATTTAGCTTGATTTTAAGGTTTTAGCAGGGGTTCGCGTGCCCCGGATTTCAAAAAAATAGTTCTTGAGAAATTTATTATTTGATGGCTTTGAAATCAATTTAAGAAGTGATCACCCAAGAAGCTGCGGGGAGAATGTGTTCCACGAAACTGTAGAGGCACTGTGTGTTCACATGTCCAGGTAATTCATCCTAGGAGACATGAAAATATAACTCCTGACATCTTATTATGTTATGGACTCGATCTCGCTCGTGATCGATGCGTTATTTTTTCATCTTTCTCATAAGCACTGATTTTCAGGCAACAATTGAAGATGTTGAATGCAACGAAGGTGACACTGTAAAATTCAAAGCAGTCCT